ACAGCTAAAATCCCAAGGTAAGCATTTATTTTGCATTCATTTTTTTTCTTCCTATTCGTCTTATAAGCAACATGTGATATTTTCTCTCGCTCTTTGTTAGAAATATAAGAAAAGAAAAGAAGCGAACGTTATATGTAAATGACAACACACAATAGAGCAAAAAAAACAGATCGATGTAGTCATACCAGTATATTTTTGAGGAAGAAGCTTTTAGGAAGTGTAGGTATAATTAAAAAGGCTCTTTTCAATATATCTACTACCTCAAATACCAGTTGATGCTTCGAATTCGATTAAATATGATCCGCCTTCTTTCGTAACATCGCATAATGCAATTTCTACTCTAAATGAAGCACTTGATATCGCAACGTTAGATAGGACGGATATGAAAGCTACGCTTCTCACCCATCTTCGTCGAAAGGACGTGTGAAACGAACGAGATCATCGTCAAAAAACAACGCGTGCTGACTCAAGTGACGCAGGTAATACTGATGACTGAAATACAAACACAAAACCGGGTCTATCCCTGGACGATTTTCGACTGGACGTATCTAATCAGAACTCAGCGGTGTCCCCCAATAGCAGTACTTAAAAATCTAAAAGAAAACGTAAACAAGTTTCATTCGATATTATGGGCTTTAACTCTTCCGGAGAAGATGATAAGTTGTACCATTGTTCTATTACTATCTTAAAAGTAATATTCTAATACTATTTCGACAGACGTGTTACATAAAAGGCCACCAGATGTACATACAGTCACACAGAATACACTTGAACTAGTTTTTGGTTCATCTTCACAAGCACAAACGACTACGTCTACCAAACGAACGATGCTAAAACGATCCGATGGAAGAATTATGGCAGAAAACGACGTCACTGAACAACTTGAGGCGCAGCGAAGAGGCAGTGGAGGACAACAAACGGTATGCTTAACTAGGCATCGCAAAATATATTATGAGTTCTACAACAAAATGTTATTTCACACATTTAGATTCGTGTGCTACATTACTATAATTATGTATTATATAGACAATAATCTAAGGCTGTTTGATTTACCTCGCTCTCTTTCAACAAAAGTATGTTTTAAATTTTTCTAGATGTGTTGATGTGATCTCTCTACCTTCTCTACAATTATCTATGGCAAGATCTTTGCTGAAACTTGTTTCTGTACGAAAGTTGATGCATAATTTCGTGATGTTGTTTACAAAGATCGACCTCAAAGCTTTGCCATCTTCTTATTTTGTCCTATACAATTCTTTTCTTTTTCTTTCAAAATGCTCAAACTTTCTTTGTCCTCGAAAGACTAATGCTTTTGCCGTTCGAAATGTTCAAATCATCCTAGATTAGTATCACAAAAAACATTGTACAACGACCGGAACATATTTTTATCTTACTGTTGCGCAGCGTGACTTTGACGTTGATTGCTATCATTTTTATTTATATACACAGACAATTAAATTTCTGTATTACAAAAGTCCACAAGATAGTTGCACATAAGCGAAGACTGTTATTCTGTGTTAAGCGTCAACATTCTCATCTATCTATAGCATTTCGTAGCCTGAGTGTTGCTGAACAACGTATACAAATAATTGTTTAACTTGATCCTTGTAGCTAATTACAGTTTACTCGATGGGAGAAATGTATGAATGTCAACGAACTCACCTCTTAAGAACACTTCGATGAATTTGAAAAATTTCACTTTTGTTGAGAAAATAGAGTTCGGTGAGCTGAACAACTGCTCTAAGACAAGTAGTAGTCACTATCGGATTGTAAAGACACTATAAGGTTTGCTAGTTTCTATCTAGCTAAAACAGCTGGGATGATCCGAATTATTCTAAGTTAGTTTTCTCGAAAAAATGACGTTTTCAACAGCTGACATCATGGTGGCCGCTATGCTCCTGTAATTCAGCAGTTCGGCTTGATATCTTCAGATCCTATAGAAGAGAGCTGGCGCTATCCAACAGTGCCATTTTTGGAGTTAAAAGCATGAGAAAAAGTTGCTTACGGAATTGGGAAAATAAGTTACCGCCATTTCTGCTCGACTGATCCGAATTATACCAGTTGGCTCTATGTTCTAAAATAATTAATAAAATTCGGTGTGACTAGTTTAACATGTATTAAGTCAAAGAAACCTTGACACCGTTAAGTAGTATACAATTTATGATTAGTTTTTCATTTGAGGCGCTCGACGTAAAGAATTTCTAAGACTCAATAGAGAGTAAAAACATCTATTTGTATTCTACTATATATACATGAAAGTAGTAGAATTCACTGAAAAAGTGATCTATCGGAAAGGTGGTGATTGAAAGTTGATCTCGATTTCAAAAGAATAACTTCTCTAGTCCCATTAACAACAGTCAACAGATTTTAAAGCAAACAAAGTGAATATTTAGTAAATAAACTACTACAAAACTCCTGAACGTCTTCTTGAATTATTTTGTCACAGCTTGACACGAGTTGAACTTCCATGTGATCTGTGATACTGAAAACCACTTAATAGACGAAATAGAATCGAACTTTACTTGATGCTCTATAAAGTAATGGCTCATTTTTGAAGGCTTTCAAACACGTTTTTTTGAGAGTTTAAACTCTATTTTACTTTTTGGTACTTTGATAATATCTTATCTTAGATCTTTTCGGATTTGTTCGGATTTTTGTTGTTGGAAATACCATCGGAATACTAGGCTTCACATCACATTATCAAAAGAATTATTGACGAATGTGTAACTTTGGTTAATTAAATTACGCATGTAGTTATGTCAACTAATTTATAGTATACATGTGCGTCGAAAAGTCTGTGTGTCAGAGTAAACTGCAAAAGATACGATAACCGATGGGAGTTTGAAATACGAGAATACTGAAATCTCGGAGTGTATTTTTTTCGTTGCGTCAAGCCGTTTTCTTTGGCAACTTAATCTATTTGTTTTCCGAAAAAAGAACGATGCTTGTAAAGCAGAATCATTCCTTTCACATTTCGATGTCAGTTGCATCACTTGAATGAACTGCTATTTGCCTATTAGTGGTGTCGTCATTCGTTTTTGAATGAGATATTGAATGAGATTCGATGATGACTGGCGGATTTGTTGTCGTCATATTCACTAATTATTTTTGAAAATTTAATAGCTGGTAGACGTCGGTGTTGGCTTTCTTCTCACTGATAGTCGTCATCTGAATTGGTTGAATTACTGTCATTATTATCAGTCCATTTGACGGTCTCCGACTTGGTTTAAATTTTTCTCAATGAACGAATCCCGAGTTTCGGTGAATTGTTTGAAGATTTTTGAATCCATGAATTCGTACTCTGTTGAGGTCTTCTTCGTCTTGTAATTGGTATTGAAGGTTCAGATGAAATCGAAGATGTTCGTGAAAGTGAGCGACGAAAAGATCTACTACTCAGTTTCAACAAGGCAAGCAATGATAAATAAGTGCAAATCTTATATAACGAATTGTTGATCAATTTCCCACCATTGTGGAAGAGCAGAAAAGAAAGAAAACATTGTATATGTAAACAGGCGTGTACGTCATCAAGTATTCTTTTTAACACACATTCAACTCTCTCCGTTCTTTACGTATATGTGCTTAGATCACTATTTAAAATTTGGAAGAAGATTGAATCGATTTATTTTTATGGTACAATATTCAGTTGATGTTTTTGTGCATGCACGTGAAATTCGCCTAGGTTTCAATGAATTTTTCTTGACTTTAATTGATTATTGACTATCTGATTGACTAAAGGTTACTGAATGTTTGTGTGTGATCTTATATATAATCCATTGATTTTTTTTATTTAGAACTCGATCTTTGGTATTGCTTTATGAGTTTTATTGATTATGAATATTTTTTTAGGACTTTTATATCATAAAACTCGCGGTATCCTTCTTTGAAGTGCTAAGTAAATCGCAATCTATAATAATTAAGTAATCCGAGCATTGTTTTTTGCATGCGTTCCCTGAACAGGGGACGAACAACGTTTTCGCTTAGTACTGTGTGCAATCGTATGTCAAAAGTTTTGCTTCGTGTAAAAAACCGCTCTATTCCCAGAGATGGAACTCTAGGGAGCGGGGAACGCTGGTACCCCGAATCATTATGTTTGGTATACAGTAAAAACTCTTTATAAGAACCACCATTAGATTCGTTTAAAACGCGTTCATTATGAGAGACGTTCGTTATATTGAGGTGTCGCATTAAGTGAACGTTTACATGTATACAATGTATGACAAGTACTCTAGGTCATAAGAAATACACTTCTTATTAGAATTTCGTATGATCATGAAACACATCGACTAGAAAATTTAAACCAATTTTACGAAAATATCCATCGATTATTATAAGCACGATCAATGAATTGTTTGTTAATTGCATTATCCTTGTTCATTTTGTTTTACATATATAGTTACATCCAACCCATCAATTGGTTGTGAATTATTGCTCGTTCTTTTCTTTATGTCAAACGAATTATTTCGTAATAATTTGTTTGTCATTGAATTTTGATATCATTGCTTTAAAAAAAGAATATCACTGGCTATTTTACCTTCGATTTATTCCTTTCCGCGTGTATACTTTTTTGCAAATGTGTTCATTATATAGAGAAAAATTTACAACAGAAATTGATCGGAGGAGTTCGAGTATGTGCTCAAACAAGTGGTATTCATTATGAACGGTTTTGTTGTTTCTCAGTTTGTTTTCTTCATCTTCACAGTACATTTGTAATCGAAGAGAATGTAATGGAACAATACTTTAGTTGAAGAACTATCAAATACTTGAATCAAGCAACTTCATCCATAGTAAGGTTATGAAGATCTTTGATGAATACTTTTCCGAATAATGTCGAAATGAATGACATTTTATCTTTAATACATTAAATTACTAAAATGTTCTAAGTAGTTGTTCTCTTGAGATTTATGTTGTAATATAAGGAACGATTTTTCTTTTTCCTTTCACAACTTCTTTCTTATAAAATTGGTTCGGTTGAACAAGAAAATTATTTTCTTGTCATTTGAATTATGAAATTCCTAATCTTATTATCATTCTTTACATGTGCTAGTCAATTACCATTGCAAAATATCCGTACAATCGAATTATCAATTCTTTATAATGCACGATATCAATGTGTTGATCCGCAGTGTTCACCAATTACAATTATTTTTGTATCAAATTTTGAAAAATGTCATATGGCTTGTTTAGATAATATTAATTGCCGAACAGCTGTTTTCAATGAATTAACTGACTCATGTGAAATATTTACTGATATTATCAGACAATATGGACAAATAATAAATGAAGAAAATATTGTGACTATAACTACAATCGATGAGAGATCTTTGACAGCTGGTAAGTATTACAAATTTAATTCTTTATAAAGCAAGAATCTTTGATTTGATATTTTCAAGTCCTTCAAAGAAATTGGATAGTTAATGGTGACGGGGAAACTGGTCTATGTACATCAGATAATGTTATTTTAAATCCAACTGATTGGAACTGTAATGGAACGGTAACTCAAGAATATTATAATAGTACATACTCATTTCAATTTTTGACAGATCCAGGACCAGCGTAAGAAAAAACTTCGAGATTGGTTTGAGTTGATATTTTTCTTTTCACAGTGATCGCGGTAATTGCCATTTCTATGGTCAAGCTAGTGCCTCGACCACAATGTGGCAAACAAGAAATTTCACAAGCTTTTTTCATCCTTTAATTGATAATAAAACAATTTGGTACAATTTTTCGGCTTGGATTGGTGGTTTGAATAGTCAAGATGATACTGGTCAAGTCTCACTAACGTTTTTCGATGGATCTTATCAGACGATTGGGAACAGTATAACCATTGGACCAGTTTTAGCTTCAGATCGTAATGGTATAACTTCGCTAATTTTTCGACAAGCAACTGGACTTGTGCCAGTTGGTACTCGTTCTTTTCAAGTTTTTGTTGAGTTTATTCGTGCGATGGGCACGTCTAATAATGGTGTCATTGATAATATTTCTTTTATCTTATACCAATGATTAAAAGTTACATTATAATGTTAATTTTCTTTTCGTATATATTTTACAAACTAAGAAATTCAAATAAAGATGAAAAAAGCTGTTTTTCAAACCTTCAAAGTTTGTTATTAATCTATAAATGTGCAGATTCTAGAAGAAACTTGTTTTAATGAGAGGCAATTTCTTCAAATAAATTCGTTACATCTAGTGGCGTATCCAAGATCGTGGGAGGGCAAATGTGTTATTGACCATTGTAATTTCGTACTGATAAACTTTCGATCATCGAAATTTTACTTTGTCAGAATTTGTATATCTTTTTTGATTACTTCAGACAAACTCCATCCGCATTTTTCGAAAACTTAAAAAGATTTGAAAACCCTTTGAGAATCTATACGAACTTCGGAGATTTTTATACTAATAAAATATACTTATTTTTCACTGTTGTTTACAATCCTGTTTCGAAACTTTAATCAGTGGAAAAATCTTTCCGTATCAACAAAAAGCTGTCGTGTGGTGGGGATCTCGTGCTGTTCATGATATTTTCAATAGATCTGTGTCTAAATATGATATTTGTTGTACAAGATATGTAGGTAATGATGGTTCCAAAGCATTTTCTTTTCTTTCTAAAGCAACTGGTGATTCCATTCGTCTTGAT